CGAACAGACTGCATTAGTACTTTCCTTCGTCCCTTCTTAACAGTTGATCTCATCCCAGCAACAGAAGCAACACGAGCCTGATAATATCTTAAGTTTTCAAATTAGAACTTCCCTTTTGTCATTCTGACTTTAATAACTTACCATGCAAACACACGCTCTATCCTTAGGAGTTACTCATCTGCCCTTACTACTGGTATCTGTGACAGGCTACAGTTCTGGAAAGCAGAAGTCTACATGATGTAGGGAAGTAGGTCTTGTGTTTGCAATTCCTCATTTACTGGAATAAAGACAAATGTAGATTAGTGGTTTAAGTGCATTTCCACACCCATCGCTCTCATTCAGTGTTAAAAAAGACCCCAATTACTCCTTACGAGTTAAGAATGAAAAGTCACTTTCCATGTTTCCTGCTTGTGCTTACAAAGTTTGCATCAGTCCCTTGTGGCTTAACTACCATAGCTCCTTCCTTTAGCCAATAACTAATAAACAGTCAGTATTTGACAGTCTAGCTTTATTAATAAAAATCTGTGCTTCCACCCAGAGATCAGTTCTGTAGCAGAACCTCATTAAGTAATTCCATTAAAGCAATGTGATACTGAAAAACACAAGCAATACTGAAGAAATGCTACGACATTTAGCTGCATTCTCCTCCTTAGAAAAGAGAGAATGAAAGGTGACAAAAAGCTAGTATGTCAGATTTTATGAATGCAATTGCCTCTGGCACGTCCTCCCTTAGGATTTTACTTGGCTTGAGTTTTGGGGATTTTTTTTTTATAAGACAAAGTAAGAGTTTTGGCTCAAATTGTACTACACCACTTCAACAAAGACTACTTTGTTGAATGTTTTCCACAAACCCATTTCTAGCACAACAGCTCATTTTTGCACATTCAGGTAGACTTTTGCTTTGGTATTTACAGACAACAGTCCAAAGAGAACATTGCCAAGAATTACAGTTTTAAAAGACAAAAAAAGAATGATGACAGTAAAGGAACTAGCATACCCCACTCCTTCAGAAATACCAATAAGAAGATGGTAGCTGCAGATCTACATCTCTGATGCCTGCTTCTCTCCCTCTTCAGTAAATGAGGAAGAAAGTATGGGAGAAGTACTTACCCTCTGGATAAGGCAGACACCCAGCAAACAGTTGTTACAAAACCAGCACTTAGTTCTCAGATCTCAGGAGTCTGACCCCCAAAAGTATATGTGATTTTTAAAAACCATCTCTATGTAACAGAGAAGCATTTTCTAGACAGAATTCATAAACAATAAGAAGTTGTCAAGCAGAATAATCCCTCAAAATTAAACCACTTCAATTTTCTTCCTATTGGAATTATACCACACTTATTAAAAAAATGCAAATCTAAAGTCATCCCTAGGATGAATACCAGATTTCTAAGAGGATTAAAACCAACACATCCTAAGTATCACAAACGCACTTAATTTCCAGTTCAATAAAATATTGGAATATCAATTTATTAAAAAGTTATGTGAACTGTACATATGTAAACTGCAATATAGCTGAAAAATCTGAAATATATAATTTTAAAGGAAAATCATTTATTTCTGAAAATATTTAAAATATTGCATTTCTGGCAGCAAATTTAAAAGAAGTGCTCTGGAATGGGTGCGGTCTCTCTGTGCATTTGTCTAGCATTTGTCTTCAAGGTGTAAAACATATCTGCTTTCTGATTTTTCATAGCACAATCTTGTGAACGTTTTCTTTCCGACTTGTAGAGACAGAATTCGATTTTCAAGAACAGCAGCAGAATTTTAACAGGAAATACTATGGTCCTTGTCGGTGCAGACAACATTTTCCGAGAGTCCATGACACCTTGGAAATATGCTAGCCATTCTGCATATAAATGCATCAGATCGTGCTTACAAGCTACAGAATAAGTCTTTGATTGATAATTTTTCTGTTTATTTCCGCCAAGGCCACTGAAAATACGAAGGCCTTTTCATCTGAAAGGTTAGCATATATGTCAACTTCTTTTTCTTGTTTTTCTGTAGAAGAAAAAAAAGTCACTATTAGAAGCTTTTTCCATTATCCAAAGTTAATGCAAGTTACATAGCAGTTAATAAATTATGTGGAATGGAGCACTGGAATCGAAAAGCAGTTAGACAATCAACTATGCAGAAAGCGACTGAGAGAGGAGGAAGGTATGGAGGCACACGAAAGTGCTAGACAAGGCACAGAATCAGTCATCCAAAAGCATGACCGAATTTCTGTTCTTTAACGACAAAGAAATAACGAGTCACTAACATTATACTGATTCCTGACACAAAAGAGTGTTCCTCCAATTTTGGGATTGGTTGGTTGGGGTGTTTTTTGCTTTCACATAAACATCTCCCATATTAGAAAACAAAGAGATTTCACAATATTCTCATTAAATATGACATTTGTCCCTCTATTTTACATCTAAGTAACAGAAACTCAAGAGTTTAATTACAGTGTCCAAGACCAAAGAGCAGAGACATGGCAGAAGGCAGGTTCCCAATTCGTCACCATGAGCATTTCTGGATTTTCTACACCACAGACTTTCAATCTTATCCCAGATATAGAACAATGCTAACAACTCAGGGAGCAAAGGAAATCAGCAGAGGGAATTCAGAGGCTGTGGGCTTCTTTCAAGGCTACAGATACACAACAGCGAGCCATCAAGAAGTTTCCATACTGCAGTGCTCAAGTACACTAAGTTACACTATAGCATATGACAAAACTCATAGAATAGTACTTTCATAAATACCACCTACTCCAGATCATGACTATTTATATCCCAGTTTAGCAAGCCACAGGTAGCTGACACAACTCCATAAGAAAAAGCAAACCAACAAAACCAGCTTTGTCAGCAGCAGGCTTGCAGATACAGAGGAGAGAGGAACACGTACAGAGCTTTAAGGCTGGTGTCTAGCTGTGGAACTCCATCTCTAATCCAAGTTTCAGTGGCCTGGACTAACTTACAATCACAATACAACGCTCACCCAACAGACTCCTCAGCCTCATTAACACACAGACACACGCGTGCACGCTCTTTTTGACCACAGCACACTCTGGCAGACTGCTCCACCAAGACACCTATAACGGAAAGCACCTTGTGGAAAAAAGATCCCAGCTTCTCATATCTCCCCACCTACTCCAACGGTTATTCCTTCTGTGGGTCCATGTTCATAACAATATTTTCAGACTTGACTTCACATCTGACTGTCTGTGTTACAGCTATGGACACCATTCCGACAGACTACCTTCCCTGTGAAGTCAAGTGCTTGTGTTAAACAACTAAGTGGAAGAAACTGAAAAGCCCTTTACCACTGTGTTTTGACTTAATACCGATACAGAGACACACAGCAACAAAACTCTCTACTTAAAGACTTCTAGACAACTTAAATCACACACAAGCTCACCTTTCCTTGCAAGTAAAATTGCTTAGTGAGGAGCCTGGACACACAGAGATGCATTAGTTTTTAATCTGAAAACAAGAAGTTTGCCTTAGCAAAGTAAAGCCAATCAAAGCATGTTTGATATTTGGAATATAAATGATTTCTGCTGGTTCTTTGGCTACGCAAGACAATATTCTCTAGTGTATTGACTTTGAAATGAAAGCTAGGAAGCCAAGTTTCACTGCAAGTCCTACCCTGTAGTTTAAGACAAATCAGTTTCTATATGAATACTCAATCTGGGTTGTTCCACTTCCTCACTTACAAATTAACAATGCTGGGAGTTGTTCTGAGCACAGACACCACACACACTGGTTATTCCACATTAACCTTTTCTATTTTCATATCTAAATCTCTCCCCTTTTTTCATACTTCCTGATCCAAACAAACTCAGCCATCTCCTGACTGCATGAGTACTCAGCAAAATTAAAAATACTGGGAGTTTTTCACCCTCTGGTTACTGTTAACAGATCGTAGATTTCTTAGCAATAAAATAACTTACTCAAGTTTCCCTTCCCCCCTGTCCTCCCAAAGAGGTGGCTTGTTCTGAGAGACTTCAACTTTAAAGAATTCAAATTTTGATATCAAACAGTATCAGGGATTAACACAGTTTTGCAAGCTTTACGCATTCTTAAGACAATTCCAGTTCTCATCAGTAACTAATGAAGAGCTTGCACCTGCCTGACGTTTTATCACATGCTACTCATAGGATACTGTGGTTTCTACAGACACTATTAAAACTTTCCGCTTCACAGTCTTATCTGAAAGTAGTTTTGACTCACTTCCCTATTATTAGCAAAAGCCTGTCTTACAGAATCACAATAGCGTTTTTGTAAGACGTTAAAAACATTGTCTTTTGATATACAACTAAGAACTTTTTAGGTGAAAATATTCAGTCTTTCTGTAGCATGTCTCTCACATACCCAGATCTCCTGCAACCCACTAGACCCACAGCCCTTAAAACTCATCTATGTATAAATCAATTATGGATCCTCCTCCCTCACAAATTCTGTATGGATTCAAAATCTAAAGTTCTGAGATTCACTATCCAAGATCGGAAACTACTTCAAATGTGCACATTAGGGCAAGCAAACATATGAGTAATACAGTTGGAAACTACTGGAAAAGGAAAACTTGGGTCAAGAAATTTAATTCAGCTTAAGTTTTATCAGGATACTGAAATGTAAGTTAAGCATCAAGTAGCTTTTGTAAGACTCCAGGCTGCTCTTGCTGAGCCTCACTTGATGGTAACCTCTTTCAGGAACAGAATAACCAATACCACTTCCTCCGGCACACAAGGGTTTCTTTTATTTGTTTTACCATAATCAAGGTTGCTACCTAGATAGCAAGGCAGCCTGGGAACCTGTCTAGCTGCATATCACAATCCCACACAGTAAAATTAAAAACCTACCACCACCACCGCAACAAGAATTGAAGTTTCTCTTTTCAAAATGTATTGTAGCATTTCTGACAAAGAAATTAAACGACAATTTTGACAAGCCAAGCCTGCAGTGAGAAGTTCCTATTTTCCAGGGTCATCACATGGCTCTGAAACATGATAGGAATATTCTCTGGGTCCCAGCGTACTGCCATATCCCCTCAATCTACATCAGCTTCCTCCTTCCTCCCCCTCCATTCTTTTTCACTAAATTTACAGGAAAACCAGCTTATTTTAAAAAGTCCTTTTGCTTCTCCTATTCTTCTTAATTGCTGTTGAATCCTGCAGCTCTTTGCCCTAATGTGAATCAGTCAAGAAGGAAACAAAAGAAGTAGTCAAAGGCACAGACATAACTGAGAACAAGCACGCTATGTATGAAAACAGCACAACACAAGCAAGGAAGCAAAGCTACAGATGTCATGGGTATCTTCAGGAAGAAAATTTTCACAGCTGGGTGGTCTTCAAATGGACAGATTATCTACTCTTGCATGCTACTATAATTCAGGTGTTCTCTGTCCTCCTGTTTTTTCATGTACAAATGATTTGGGCATTGCAGAAGCCTAAGAGGTACCAAGTATTTAACAGCTTTGCAAGCAGTGGCCTCTTTTCAAGTCCTTTGGGGGAAAGAAAAACACCACAATCTCTAGTGGCAAATAATGTGTACCAAAAATACCCTAGAAATATAAAACAGGCAAGGAAATACTACGCTTGAAGTCTAACACTAACTAAGGCCTTGCACTCCAGAGCTGACTTTCAACATTACGCAGACTGACACAATGCCTAGCGATGAGTCATACAAAAAGTACCTTAATTGGAGTAGAAGAACTGAAGTTGCTCAATGTGCTTTTACGCAAACAACACTATCAAGCAGCAGGCTTGGTAAAGGAAGAATATTTCTAAAATTCCCCACTAATTACTCCACCCGTAGTAGCTAAGCCAATTTTATAAGCCACCCGAAAAAGGAGAAGTCAACGTTAACTTGTTTTGTAGTCATTACTTACAGAATTACGGGTTTTCTGCTGAATTGATTTTTATAGCCATGACAGACATATAGATCAACTTTTTGTTGGGTGGTGATTTTTTTTTTTTTAATCTGCTCAATAATGACCACAGTGATCTACACACGTTACAGTGTGACATAACCAGAAATATATCAAAAGTAAGAAAACATCCTAGGCCCACTTATTCCTAACCAATGAGATGTGCTGTACTGGTGAGGAGCAAAGATAATTACAAATGGGTGGGTGTGAACCCAAACTCTGTACCAGCTCTGGAGAAGAGGTCGAGGAAGAAATAGTAGCAGTAGTTACAGTACAAAATAAAGGAGATGGAAGGACAGGACAAGAAGATGAAGGCAAGCTTCTCAAGTGAGATTCAATTTAGAAAAAAACAACACACCAAACACCAAAAAAAACCAACACATCACACACACACTCTTATGCAAAGATCTCACTACATCATATTTCAAGTTTTCTACCTCAGAGCATTGGCATATAATCACACTTCAGAGTACGCAGCAAGAGGTTAAACATATTCAGCCTAGTTTTGGATAAGAAAACGTTCTCTAAATATCCCTCATGCTTTCAACTTCTTGCTTTTCAGAGACTATAAAACATGCATTAAGAGAATTAATCTTTCCTTTTAATTGCTTACATTGCTTTCCTTTTCTCCAGGAGGGGACAGGAAAGAAGATTTACTTTTATAGGGCAATCCAACAAGCTCGTAGGGACTTTTCAAACCAAAGCTGTGTGTAGACTAGCAGTAAAATGCCTAGAAATGATCCTATAGGTGCTAGACGAAGTCTAGCTTGGATCAAAAACAAATAGGGAAGGGAAGCTCTGTATTCTGTGAAGCTACACACATCAATAAGCCATATGCAACAGTGAAGAGATTAGATACTGTAAGTGTATTCCTATTAGAGTAAGGCAATTGCCATCCAGGAAACACAGAAATCAAATTCCCTCCCCTCTTTCCACAGCCAAAGCACCAGAACAAGAATCAAAAAAGTTCCAATTTATACTTTGGTTTTATAGGAAAGAAACATGAAGAATGAACAGATTTACATTAAACAGCAGAGACAACAAAATTGGTTTAGAAAGCTAGAGTTTAAAGGAACTCACTTTGCAACATGGACTAACGCCCATTTCTGTTAACAAATAGGGTGATGAGGAAAAAACAATTCCATTTCTAAGCTACGCCACAAAACACGCTTGACAGTTTCAGTAGTTTTAAGAACAAGATCTTCTGAATATTTCTATGAAATCTTGTTCTTCCCCTCCTAACTGCCTTCCAGCCTTTTTAAGTCTATGCTAAATTCTAGATTAATTATTCAGGTTTAAAATTAATGTCTCCAAACCCATAGATAGCAAACGCATGTCAATAGGGTCTTAAAAAAAAAAACACCACACACACAAAAAAAACCACAAACAAACACAAAAACCAAACAAACCACAAACAAGAATCCTAAGTGAAAGTCAAATACTTGAAGGGCTCCAAAATCACTCCAGTGCATGTAAGTCTCTTTATTGTACAAAGATTAAGAACAGGTCACCAAGGAACCTTAATCAGCAGGAGGGCATTCTTTCCTCTAGAGTATTATTCTGTAGAAACATGGGACAAAAATTCAGGTCATAGTAGTGATTCAAGATGCCCTCTTTACTTTGGCCCTCCAAAAGGTTTCAAGGAACTTTTTAAGCAATCCAATCATCCGAATCACTCTCTAGTAACAGGCATCATTATATTGTTTGTCCTTGTGATACAGAGCAGTGGTACCTCAAAATAAAAAAAAAACCACAAACCTACTAAGCACTACAGTCCAATGGCTTTCAACCTACATGTTGAAACTTGATCTGATGGCTAAAAATACAGACTTAGTTCTTTATAGTCAGTTCCAGCAGACACTGAAACATAAACCCAGGTCTCTACGGATATGAAACAGTCCCTTCCCTATATTAAGAAATCAGGTATTGGCTGAACTAGTCTAGTTACTTCAATGGTATACAGGTTTATTGATTAAAAAAATAATAATCTTCAAATACAGAAAGAAAACCCAACGAACACAATTTCTCCGGTTCTCATACCTCTTTCTTCCTCGTGCTTTTTGGCTGAGGCACTTTTAGGTCTTCCTCTTCCTCGTCTGCTATGATCTGAATGGCTGTTAGACCTGGATCTTTTTCGATTTTCTAAGTCTTTATTTACTGCAGAATTTATCTTCTCTCGCTTAACTCTCTCTGTCCGTCTCCTTTTCGCCTCACTCTTGTTTTCTGTGCAAATGAATAGAGATGGTATGATCTATGTTTTCATATTTGTTCTTAATTTACTCTTAGTACTTATCCCACCCAATCACCTTTTTTCTTGAAGTCTCTTAGCAAAACTGGATAGATACCTTTACAGAACAATTACATCTGCATGATATCCACGCAGAAATCGAGGTGTCGGATCCAGAATGACACTTCACTTCTTGAATACAAGGATCAAGCCTTTAATTACTTCAAATGCATTTTGCAGCATGAGACATTTGCTAGTATACAAAAAGTTCACTGTTTCCCATAATAAGATGGAAAAAAACTGTACAGATCACAGCCATCAAGACTGTCCATTGCATTTATCTCCACCAGCCAAAAAAAAAAGTTTATCATATAGGCAAACAGCAAAGTACTCCATCCTCTTTTGACACTAACAATGAAATCATTCCCACTGCTCTCACAACCTGAAATGCTGAGTCAACGATGCTGTCAGTAAAGGCCACATTACGTAGCACACGTGTCCTACTAAATCCAGCCTACGACAAGGCCTCATAACATTTAATGCTGAACAGGTGTATTGTTTTCCTACACACTAGAGTCAAATAAAAGAGAACTTATATGAGTTTCTCCTGTAAGTTAAGCATGGATTAACAACTTTGGGTACTGAAAACCGTACAGTCGCCACAGCACACCATTCAACATAGACTAGGTGCACATTTGCAAGGCTGCAGCACCATTCTTGCAGAAGCTATATTGTTGAAAATACCGGAATGACGTTTTCTAAAAGAAGTTGCAGTTGCCTTATGAGCATAATATGTCTACATACACAGTCTCCCACTATATCTTCCTTAGGAACTGGTTTCCTTTCACTGCAGTTGTCCCATTAATCTTGTATAGACACAGGGTACAAACTGGACAGCAGGGTAATTTGTCACTAACGTTAATACAAAAGCTGTATTTCACAGTATCACAAAAAGTTTGAGGTAACAAGGGACCTCTGGAGACCAACCTATCCAACCACCCTGCTCAAGCAGGGCCACCGAGAGCCAGCTGCCCAGGACTACGTCCCGATGGCTTTTGAGTATCTCCAAGGATGGAGACTGCACATCCTCTTTGAGCAACCTGTGCCAGTGCTCTGTCATCCCCACAGTAAAACAGCATTTCCTGATGCTCAGAGGGAACAGCCTGTGTTTCAGTTTGAGACCATTGCCTCTTGTTCTGTCACTGGGCAGCACCGAAAAGAGTCTGGCTCTATCTTCTTTACACCCTTCCTTCAGGTATTTCTATACATTGATAAGATTCCCCTGAGCTTTCTCTTCTCCAGGCTGAAGAATCTCAGCTCTCTAAGACTTTCCTCAGAGGAAAGATGCTCTAGTCCCTTCATCATCTCCATGGCCCTTCGCTGGACTCTCTCCAGTATGTCCATGTCTCTCTTGTACTGCGGAGGCCATAACTGGACACAGTACTCCAGGTGTGGCTTCAGCAGCACTGAGCAGAGGGGAAGGATCCCCTCCCTCGACCTGCTGGCAATACTTTGCCTAACACAGCCCACCATACTGTTAGCTGCCTTTGCTGCAAGGGCACAGTTGACGGCTCATGTTCAACCTGCTCTTCACCAGGACCCCAGGTCCTGTCCTGCAAAGCTGCTTTCCAGCAGGGTGGTCCCCAGCACATATTCGTGCATGAGGTTCTTCCTCCCCTTGTGCATTTCCCATGTACAAAGCTGAATTATACAAGAGCTTTGCTCTACCAGCTTATGGCCTCAGCTTCATTTGGTAACTACTTCATCAACTTTCAAACAACGCAATCGGAGGGGGAAAGAGAATTGACCAATGCTTGCAAACAGCAAACAGTACCACAGACATTGCTTAACCTCCTCCACCTTGAAAGTTTAGTTATTCATATACTGCCATATAATTCCTACAAACTGGTAAACTACAAGTATCCTTCAAGATATTGATACAAAATATTGAATACTTAGTTTCCATTTTGTAGGCCTGGCAGACAATTTTTAAAAGCAGACATTATAAATCAGATACTTTTTTTTTTAAAAAAAAACATCTTCCCCAGCAGGTGCTTGCTCTGACTAATTCCTACTAGGACCGGAAGAAGTGATAAAAATGAACACAAGGAGAATGTTAATCATGCCAGAACACATATCCAACCAACTTCTTACTGTGCCCACCAACAACAAAAGACATACAGGTAAGATACAAAAAATACACTATATTTTAATTTAACCATGCAGAGAGAAGCAAGATCCACCTGGTTTTAGATTATACAACCAATTTTATACAAAGTGCCATTCAAGTGTTGATGAATGAGTACAACTTGGCATAACTTCTTCAAAAAAAAAAAGATTTTTACTTTCAGAAAACCCAGCTTCCTTCAGCACGTCCTCTGAAATCTGATCCCTTTGGCACCTCTAGACATATAGCTTCAAAAGAGGATTAAAAGAAAGCTTTCTGTTGATTAATCCTGTTATTTTGCATATTGATCAATGTGCACAGCTACAATATACACAGAATAAATGCCAACATCACAAGTACAAAGGATGTAAGACTGAAAACATGAGCTTTTCCTCCCTCAAAATTCAAGAAGAATTAAGATACTAAAAGTATACCATGCACAAATTCAAGGGAAAGTGAACTGATTTTACACAGAGGAGTAAAACACTCTATCCTTTGCCTCCAAGAAATAACAGGAAAGAACTATTGTCCCCTTCTTCCCATCTCTGTAAGTATTACCTGCGATGGGTGATCTCTCAGCACGTTTAGCATGCAACAGTTTTCGACTAATAAATATGTAGCCACAGGGACACGATTTACACGCAACAGGAACCTGAGAAAACAAAAGACAAATATTTCAGATCATTTCAAAGTATGACAAAATTCCTGTCCGATGAATAAAAAAACCTAGTTACTCACATTTTATCCTCAGAGATACCTCTTCAAGTTCGGTCTATACTGCAAACTATGACCTCTACTATTACACAATTGTATTTAAACATAGTAAAAACGGTTCTACTGTGAATCACTCACTAAGCCTTTTCTTTATGCAGTTGTTAGAAATCAAGCTTGAAATGTACAGCTGTTGTGACTGCTTTGTACTACAAATCCTTTCCCCAGACTGTCAGGAAGAGGCTGGGGGAAAGTGGAGAGCACTACAGCAAGGATGAATCAGAACAGAAATATAATTTCTCTTCAGACCTCTCAAATATCCCTGCTCAAATCTGTCAGACATTCCCAGTTTTGCTTCCTTCATTTACTTTTTTTTTTTTTTTTTATTAAATAAAGAGTTAAAACTGTCAGTACATTCTGAATACATTCACTTTCAGAAGAAAACAACTCCTTTAGAGAGCAGGAGCAGCTTTAAACAGGAGGCACAATAGAGCCTGAAGCAAAATAGATGCATTTGCACCAGAATCTACAACACGGTTGTAGGCAAGACCAGGTGGTTAAAGGAGGACTTACTTAATTCAAAATGCAAATAACCTACCACAGCTAGTCAAAAGCTGACTGCATGCTGAAGAGTTTGAGAGACTACAGTGCTTCTCCCCATCAGCTAAGCAGTCAGGAGCAGTACACTCCCCCAGCATAAGACAAGTGAAAATAAGATGAAAAAAATCCAGAAATGCCACACTTAAATGAGAAATGACAAAAAAATCTTACTCTGAGTAATTAAAAAAGTGATGCTGATAAATTACAAACCCCATTACCTTCACTTAAATCCAAGATCTTTTGAGATCTTTTAAAGTAGTAAAGAATACATCATATTGCTTTGATTAGGTTTAAGACCGAAAAAAAACAAATCAAAGCAAGTTTAAACAGAGATCTGGAAGAGATTAACACACATTAAAGTCAAGGCATGTTGAAGCACGACAGTGGGGGAAAAAAAGCAGGAGGTAATTTCTCAAAAGTAATTCTTTAGGACAGGTCTTTACAAGTTTGCCAATGTCCACTGAAACAAACACGAGTACAGAACCACAATTGCCTGCTCAATTTTACCGGACACACAGAAGAACCAAGTTCCAGCGTCCTACTGGCTAGGAAAAAAATGCCAAATTAGTACATGAAACTGTAAAGGAGAACTTACCTGCTACTCAGAATAAACAAATTATTTTCCTTTCTGTAGCACATCTTAACTCCCGTATTTCATCCTATAAAGAGCTTACAGATAGACTTTTGATACAGGTTTTACGTAACTAGAGACTTTTTAATTCCCTTTATGGAGACACTGACATAATAAAAACAATTCTAATCAAGTTTTACTGAACCTTAAAGCTCAGAACTTAGCAGACTTGTGTGTACACTTATCTTCTTGCTCGTAAGTCATCAGAATACTAGAAACCACTATCTAGCAGACAGTTTGTATTGTTAAGGTGATAAAGGAGTTCCCTTTAAGCACATTTTTGAACACCTGGGTCTCTCCAATAACTATGTTTCCAGGCTCAGCCTAAAAAAAAACATGGGGAAAACCACCCAAGGGGATTGGAGCAGACCCAATGTTTTAAAATGAACTTAACTGTGTTTAACAGAACAATATTGTTCTGGTGTTACAGGTTTGGCATGTAGGTGTGTGTCATTTGCAGGAGGTGAGGTGAGGTAGGGATTAGGTGGGAAGGGGCTTATTTGCTGAAAGGTATCAGTTATCCTTCAAAGACCTACACTGATAACATCCTGTAACACAATTATTAGTGCAACATAGCCCTACAAACACTATTTTACTCTATTTAACATTTTCCTAAACAAAAAGAAGCAGAATTTCTTACAGAACAAAGTTTACCTGAGGCTCAATTAAGAAGTGGTAATTATTTATTCTGATTGACTGCAAGTATTTCAGGCTCCCTAGTTTAATGGGGCCATACTCTGGTTGTGAAAATATCGTCAAAATTCCTTTTTTTTTTATATTTTAAAAAAGTCTAAATCGCAATGACATATCATTTAAATTACAACAAAAAAAAAGTTTAAAAGCTTAAGAAATGTTACTCAATATTGGCTCCAATATTTGTGGCTGGCTGAATGTTTCCATGCATGCCACTTGTAGTGAAGAAACTACAAACAAATGCAAAGCCCTTGTTTATAGAAGAATTTAAGAAATGCTAGTACAGGACACAACCACTTAAGAGTCACACAAAAGCTTCCCCACACTCTGCAAAGGGCTGACTTTTTAGTTTCTTGTCCTCTCAAACATTTGGCACTGGAAAACCAGGTCCTGTGAGCAATGATTATGCTGGGGCAGGACACATACGCACGTTAATTCCATGTTAGCCACAGAAGAGTTGCTAACAGAAAAGCTACATTGACATGCATACCGTGTTTTAGTTTTCAAGCACAGAACAAAGCAAGAGTTTCAGCATCAGCTTAAAAAACCTATAATGTTGGCTCACTTGCTCTTCCTATTGTTGGTGGTTTGACATTCACTACATTTATTAAAAAAAAAACAACACATCAACCCAAAAAAAAAAACCAAGAAAAAACCCCCAACACCCACCACCACTCTCATACTCATCTTCTCACTCAGTTTAATTTCTTCTTTCACCAACTGAATAACCAGAACTTGGCACGCAATTTTTTCTCAGAAATAGTACTTCAGTGACGTGCTTAACGTGTGAGTATTTGCAGTGGTTCATCTATTGCTTAAAACATGAAAGGATGCCTCACACACAGCTTAACATTCCAAACTGTTCCTGGGTAAGTAGAAACACCATAAAAACTATGCAAGTCAGAACAAACAAGATTACTTATAAAGATTAAAAAAAAAAAAAGAAAGAAAGAAAAATTGTATGAGATTATTTTTTGAAGTATAGCTAAAATAGCGTATACCAGTCAAGTTTCAGGATCAAATAACAAACACATTTCCCATGATGACGCGTAAAAGCCTCTCCCCCTGCCCTGAGCCCCACAGCAGCCTTCTGCAGCGCTGTGCTATTGTTCCAGCAGAGGAGCGCTGCTGTAACAAACCGGCCTATTTTTAATAGTAACATCAACACCAGTCAAAAGCATAAATGAAGACAAGCTCGTAACATAGTAACAGTTCAAATCCGCTGCTGTTAATGTTTAAGTGCAAATAACTCCAAATGGTATATATAACAAATCTGCAGTGAGACGTAAACAACAGTTGACACATACATTTGGACTACATGATAGAAATCGCAGTGAAGGTCTCGATTTTGCTGTATCTAAATTATTCCATGAGAAAACAACACAACTGAACGCTCTCCCGACTGGCCTCGGGCACATTAGTCATCCAAAGGTCAAACTGCATTGTGTGAATTGCAAAGTTCATTATATTTTTAATAAATTACATAGTTACCAAACAACGCTAGCACATAAACAATTCTGCACATCGCTTCAGCGTAACTCTCACACCGCCCTGCAAGGGGAGCACCGTATTTCATCCCCGTTCCAAGCGGAGGCTGCAAAGGCAACAATCAGTTCCCACAAACGCTGCTTCACAGCGGCACCGACCGAGTTCAAGGTTTTCCCCCCTCCAAACCAAACACACCGGCCGACAGCTTCTG